CCCGGCCCGGTCCGGTCCCTGCGCCGCCCGCGGGGCCTCCCGGGTGCCCCGTGCTAGGACCCGGCCTCGGCCCCTCCCGAGGCGGGGGCTGCAACCACGTGAGGATGAGCCACATCCTCGCGTCTCCTCCGCGCCGGGGCTAGGCCCGAGCACCTGCTTCGGGGGAGCCGCGTCCCCTCCCCCCCAGCACGAGGAGGAGGAGGAGGGAGGCCTAGGTGTTGTGGAGGTGCAGCTGTTTTGGGTGTGTGACAGGCTGCGGTGTGTTCCCTCCACTCCCCAGATGCTTGCCAGGCCTTTTTATCTGTTAGACCTATTTATTAGATGGTCTGATAAAAGATATAACCTCTACCACGAGTTCCAGTTCCTTCTTCCAGTCCTTTTACTGCCTCCACAGGGGAAGAAAAAAGCTGGGTGCATTTTTTTAAGCCCATCAAGCTAGAGCCCCTCCTGCCTGCTAATAGTTGCCCCTCATCCTCTTCCCCCTGCCCCTGCTCTTCTGCCTGCACGAGGCCCGAGATCAGGTACAGCAACACATTGAGAAAAGCGTCCTTAATAAGCATCATGTTAGCTTTGTTTCTTCCTCTGGTGTCTGCGTTTAAAAGAGGGAGCTTAAGGAATGGGAGGCTTTCTGTGGGTCTGTTCTCACCTGTCCTGAGCTTGCCACTTGCATTGAGTTCCTTTTTATCCAAACACAGTGGATGGGGAAGTTAGTTTTCAGTGTTTTTGAAAGACTGGGCTTGTTGGGACACCAGAGTTTTTGATGGTGTTGAATAAAGATGTACATTACAATAAAGAGGGAGGCAGTTAGTGATGTTAGTCTGAAGGTAGGCAGGGTGGCACCTTAGAGACTAACTTGTCTCCCTGTCACATGCCTGCCTTCTGCCCAGGTGTGTACAAGATCTTGCATACGCTGTTGTCAAGGAAAAGGACACTAACTTTTTTGATACTCTTTTATTTTTTCTCTAAGGGTCCAATCAGGACCCCCCTGTATGAGACACTAAATAATAACCCATGCAATTTCTGCCTCAGGTAAAAAATTAGGGTGTTGATAATATAACAGGCAAGTTATAGGGGGAATATATATCAAGGGGGAGTTCAGACAAGGAATATTAAAGAGAAGCTTTGCCACAGTCTACTTGTTTGGATCGAGTATGGTTTTTGAGCTAATCTTTTTTTATGATTATCATTGTGGCAATAGTGAGTGAAATATATTTTGTTGGAGCTCTTTCATTTCAGTGAGTGTTTAGCAGGCCTGTAAGTCCTTTATAGCTAGAAGATGTGGTTTGTGTGTCTAGTTGGTCTCTGCTGAGGTTGATAATGGTGACAACTAATTAGAAATTGGTTTCATAGGATGGTTATTGTTTCAAGACAGTGAAGTTAAAGAAGTATTTCTTTTGAATATTGTCGCTTCTGAATCCGTTTTTAAGCTGCACTGATGCATACATAGATCTGATTTAGGGGAGTCCTAAATTCTACAAATTTGAGATCATGTGCAGAGGTAGGTCTGCTGGTTGAAGTTATCATGCTGCCTTATCTTTAAAGGGCCTGATACTGATTTGTGAGAGAAAATTCTGCAATCAAACTTGTACAAATTTCCCAGCTTATGGGTTGTGTTAACATATAACATGGAACTTTATAAAGTGAAATGTATGTTGGTACATTTACACAACTTAAATGCATTGCTATTTTGTTGTTGTTTAGGAATTAGCAGTTTGACAAACCCTCTTATATTTAAAAAACTTGAATTGTTGATCTCTGCTGTGAACTCTGTACTCTGTCTACCTGCTAAATAAAAACTTCAGCCTTTTTCTTAAACTTCATGGCTGTGTGGTTCATAAATTCTAATCATGGTACAAATTTATACTCGGTATACAGCCATGATTCCAAATAAAAAGTTATCACTGACTTTATAAAGTGTTACCCCTGACTTTAGTAGGCATGGGGAGGGTAAAATCCCATACTTTTTTGAAAACCTAAGAAGCTACTTTTCCCTATATGTTCATGTTTTCCTCCCTCTTTTCAATCCAGTGGGCCATTGTGTGCCCTGTGGGCAAAGGGAGAATAAATCTATTGATATTGAAGTTGAGTAAGCACATTCTTGCATATGGGTAAATACCTCTGATTCTCTTAAATTGTTGTCTTTTGAGGGGTGTGTGTTGCTAAAATAATCCTGAGCTTTTTTTTAATTTTGTAGGTTCCCCCATCTTGCAAAGTACTATACTCTCAAATGTAAGAACGTCAGCCCCAGTGGGTAATTGCTCTTTAGTCTGAAAATATATAAAAAGGTGCAACATTGTGTTAAGAATATTAAGTGAAGAAGTAACTCAAAGAATATAAGCAGTATAACATGACAGCCATATGGCACAGAAATGGGAGTTTGCACTAAGATACACAAATGAGGGGGGGAGTTTATATTAGTAACTGATATTCATATATCCCATGTAGCCCCAGACTATTATATATTTAATTAAAACATAAGCGCTCATGTAACATTTTTTAGGTGATCAAGGTTGCCAATTAACAACATTTAAGCTAAATAATTTTGCTATGAACAAGTTCTACCTTTTGCCTTGGAAATGTATTCACAAAAAAGTGATGGAATAAATGATAGTGTAGGCTGAAACTGGAGACCAGTTTCTGCATTTAAAAACATGTTCCAGTAAAAGGTTTTTTATACACAATGTATATTCTTCCGTAATGTCAAAAAACAAGGTATTGGAAAAATAAGAACCTGGAAATAGACTTGACTTTGAGCTGATCTAAACACAGAAGTTGTATTAAGTTAATAAAACATCTTTGCAGTTCACTTTTCCATTTGTTTGTTCTTAATATTGAAGGTAGGCCTCTCACCTCTTTATTTCCCTTCATTTGTCTTAAATGAGAAATTTAAAAGCTAAATAGTCTATTAATGATGACTAAGTTAAAGTCTAAGCTTTTACCTTAAACCTCTTAACACTCCGCTATTTTATAGCACAGTTTTAAGTGGAATAAACTTTTAAATAAAATAATTGTAAGTAAGCTTTATTAATATAAAAGCACCAAGTTGTGGAAGGATACATGGGGTCGTATTTGAATGCTCATAGCTGATATTGTGTTAGAATGCAAATGAATACTGTCACATGTTCAACTCTTATTACAATTAGTGTTTATTCTTGAACTCATGGTCTTATATGGCCACCATTTGTTACTTTTTGGAATTGTTTTAATATATCAGGGCTGTCTAGCTGCTGGCCTGTGGGTGACATACAGCTCCCAAAGAGTTAATTTGTGGCCCCTGAGCTTCTCCTTTACTGTGGGCTTCATATTGCTCTGGATTTTTCCTCTCTCCTCAGGCTGCTGCTTCCCACCCCTGCTGCAGGGAGCAAGACAGTGCAGGGCAGTGCATGGGGCACAAAGGCCAAGTGCAGAGGTAGGGGTGGGGGGTACGGGGTA